CTCTCTCTCTCTCTCTCTCTCTCTCCTCCTACCTTCTCAGTCTCAGTCTACTTCTGGGTTCTCCTACGGGACTACTGCAGTATGAAGGATGGTTACGAACTCTGATAACAYTTGGARCAGCGACATTGGGACTACGAGTTGAGGACTATTTGGGGATCTGATTTCATCTTCCTTCTGGAGATGTACTTGACATTGTGAGATCGATATCTGGGATATTGTGAGACTTGGCATTCGCGACATTTCGGATTTTCGTCACCTCTGACAATTCAAGATACTATCTTTGGAAACATTGATTTGACGTCATCTTCCCTCTCCTCCTTCTTCGTCTCTCTCCTCTCTTCCTTTGTCCGTGGATGATCTCAGTCCCTGGCCCTTCGTCTATGTCTGAGGCCAGGGCATTCACACCCCTGATGAATGCTTGAGAGTGTTCGATTGCAGTCCGAGTCAGGTCCGAGTCAGTCCAAGGTATCTCAAGTCTTCCGCTTGCATTTGTATTAACTCTGTATTATCTGGTCGGTTCTGGGAATCTGCGCCATACTTATGACTGTGTTTCACGAGTATGCAACAAAAAAGGAACAAAAAAAAGAGCCAACAACGCTTTGGCCGTGAAAGTGGTTGGACGCATTTCAACGTCACTAGTGTGAGTATGCCCGCAGCGAGGGCGTTTTGAGCAAGAGGAATATGCGCTGCCTTGCTGGCAGGGCCAGGAAGAAAAACACAAAACGAGAAAAAAAGGAAAAACAGCAATGTTTCCCTCTCCCGGTAATAGTGGTCAGATGCATTCAGGAAAGTGATCATTTGCATATGGCCTTCATGACGTCCTTTCACGACATCATTGCTCTCTGGCATGTTTGTTCCTTTCTTTTCTTTTCTTTTCTTTTCTTTTCTTTTCTTTTCTTTTCTTTTTTCGGTTCAGGCAGACCGGCGGCACCAGTGCCACTTTCCGAAATTCCCACTGCAGGTACCCTCACGCAGAAGGATCGGAAAATAGTGGCGAGCAGTGGGCAGGTAGTTTCGGGATTTTAGGTGCGAGTGTACTGGTGGTTTAAAGCACAAGTGCATCCATCCAGCTATTGGCGGTGGGCGCCAGTCAGAATCCGGTAGGCGACACAGGCCACTGATTTTTTTTATCGACGGCGCGCCTGCGCCGTCTTTTTCGGAAGAAACTCATAGGCGGCGATTTTCTTTTCAGCAAGGATGGGGCCGTGTACTAGCGGTTTACGGGAGATCATGTTGCCGCGTAGATGTAGATGTAGCGGAGATTTTTGGCGAGGAGGAGGAGGATCAGGGCCGTGAGACCAACGTGGGATGTGAAGGGAAGCAAGCGTACCTGGAATTGCCTGGCGACGACATGTGTGATCTGCTGCTGTCTCCACAAAGGCGAGGAAGTGCTGTGCCATCCTCCATATTTGATTGCTGACGTGGCGTTGGAGGAGAGGCGCCCAGTTCTGATCTGCACAGCAGTTATGTCAGAAGACGTCAGACGGAACATGCAATCCGGATGAGGTGCCGTTGGGGGAGAAAGCCCTTTCCCCATACTCTTCTCTTATGCTCTTCTTGATGGGATAAATCATAATACTCGGTAGTTATCGCCGAGACTTGGACATGTAATTGATGATTGGAGACTTCATGAGTCATGCTGGGTTCTGAATTTCATTGCATTGTTGATTGGCATTCTGACGAGACTGAGTTTGTTACAGTCGTAACAACTACTACAGTCTTCACCCGAATAGAACACCCGGTAGTTATCGCCGTATCTGGGCTGAAAGTTGTGCGAAATACAGCTATAATGACCGGGCGTTATATTCGGGTGAAGACGGTTGCAAGACTAAACAAGTAGATTATTATCAGAGTGGGAAAGCAAAAGTACGGTTGTCGGTCGGTAACACACGCTAGCCAATGACTGAGCTGTTTGGAATTCACAGAGACTATACGCAAAAATCCGGCGCTAGTTAATGGGATCTTCAATCACCACTACCCCCAGCCCACCTTACGTACCGAGTCTGATGAGGCCACGGATGGCACCAGACCCGCCAGTTTCTGGCAGTCCAGCAGCGGAAAATCGGGGCCTATTGCTGCCCTTGAAAGTAGTGGTGGGGTTTGACAATTATGATGCCTCTCGGTGAAGCAGTAAAATACGGAAAAAAAAAAAAATTCATTAAAAAATGATCTCAAGAGTTACAAAGTCTCAATTGTTTTTTTCTTTTCTTTTTTCAGGTCACTTCTCCATATCATTTAGATGCAGTGAAAAATTGTTTCTTAAAAAGTAGTGAAAAATAGTGGAAAAGTTGTGAAAAATACTAAATAGTGAAAAAAAATCAAAATTATTCAAAAATACATGTTTGCAATGGAGAGACTGAAAGAGGGACATAAAGGGGGATAAAAATAGGTAAATTGTTTCTTAAAAAAGTAGTGAAAAATAGTGAAAACATGTGTGCAAGACGGAGACTGAATGAACCGCAAATTGCTCGTCTTGCTCCTGCAGTAGAGAAGGTCCCGACCTGCACTACTTAGGGACTTGCAATTGGAGGGGACTTTTTTGTTTTTTGTTGTTATTGGGAATGCATGATCTTTGCAAGTGCAGCATATTGTGTATGCAGTATTATGGCTTCAATTCAGAAAAATATTTATCTTTATTTTGCTTTGTTTGTTTTCTTTTATGGTCCCCCTGGTTTTGAAAATTTTCTCGCTAAATTACATGTGTGTTGCTTGTCCCCCCGGTATGGTACTGTGGTTGGATATTGATGCAATTGTGGACGGGCAGCAGATAGAGGGATTGCTATTTCTGTGAATGACATCATCATTCGGGCTTCTGCTCTGGCGCTCCGTCAGGTGCCGCATGCAAATGGTACGACGGAACTCATGGAAGATCTTCACCCTTTTTTTTTTTCTTTTTTTTTTTCGTAATGAAACTGGCCTCCATTGAATGCTTGCTGTTCTGGGACCAACAGTCCGGTTCCTAACGGACTGGCAAGTGTGAAGATAAAACATGCCCACCTGACCCTAAACCTAGGTTGTATACATTCACGATTTCCCTTGCTTCGGGCAAGTGCGAAGATAAAACATGCCACCTTTTTTGGGGGGGAGGTAATAAGGGCGCAGTCACGATTTCAGTTTAAAATCCACTTCAGGCATATCTCGAATACAACACATCCCCACCTGACCCTAAACCTAGGTTGTATACATTCTCACGATTTTCCTCGCTTCGGCACCACATTCGTGAAATCGTGACTGAAGCGCATTTTCAAACTGAAACCGTGACTGCGCCCTAGTTTTCCCTTTCTTTTTCTTTTTCTTTTTCTTTTTCTTTTTCTTTTTTTTTCATTTTTTTTCATTTTTTTTCAGAGTTTTTCTTCGTCTTCTCGTTTTTTTTTTTTTTGCAAAACTTTCGGTGACTGTGCCTTTGCCTTTTCTTGCAGTATTTTACTATTTCCCCCCTACTGATTTTCTTGTAGTATTTTCTCCCCTACTGATTTCCTTGCAGTATTTTCCCCCCTAGGGCCCCTACTGATTTTCTTACAGTATTTACAGCTGCTTTGGAGATGGTAGTTATCACCCCTGTTTCTGTGCCTTCTTTGTGAGGCCTTTTTTTTTCGCTGTCTGTTTTTCTCCACACTGTGTGACTTTTGGAGCTCTTGCTGTCTTATCTGAAATTCACATGTGCATCTGAGTAGAGACTGAGAGAGAGTGGCATGTTGGTATCCAGGGGCCTAGCTCAGTTGGTAAGGCATGCAAGTGGCATTCAGGAGGTCTTGGGTTCGATTCCCATTGGCCTCAAGTATACCTTCCTGGACAAGCTTGGCGCCCGCCACCTAGAGATAGGTCGTTGGTCCCCCCGAGTGGCAGTTAGCAGAGACTGCTGATGTTTGTAGGGGGAGGGGACTGGAGGGGAGAGCGACTGGCCCATCGAAGAAGCTCGGTCCTGATGCTACCGGCTGACCCCTGGCCGCTAATCCCCACCTGCTGTAGCAGATTTCGCACCTGCTGGTGGGTGCAGCTCCCGAATGTTCCCTCGTTGGAGGCTTGAGCGCGGATATGGTTGCTACGGGGTTCCCCGTAATACTATAATCATAGTATAATGACAATAAAAAAACGCCTGAAAGGCTGTCCTGTCTGTAGTTGGCATCCCAATTCGTCAGCCGGTATCCCAACCCCAAATAATTGTGCCGTGGGTGTTTACTACTCTTTAGTCGCCATCCCAATTCGTCTGCTGGTATCTCAACACCAAATAACTGTGCAGTGGGATACCTGCTGTGTATAATTATGTGTCAGAGATGGCCACAGATGCGGAGATACATACCTGCAGCTTTGCTCGCTCGGATACCCGCCCGACTTCGCGTGCTGGGATACCTATCTGCAGCTTCACATGCTTTGATACCTACCTGCAGCTTGGCATGCTGGGATACCCACATGCAGCTTCACATGCTTTGATACCTACCTGCAGCTTGGCATGCTGGGATACCCACATGCAGCTTGGTGTCCCGTGCTGGGATACCTACCTGCAGCTTGGCATGCTGGGATACCTATATGCAGCTTGGCATGCTGGAATACCCACATGCAGCTTGGCGTCTCGTGCTGGGATACCTACTTGCAGGCTGCTCCACAGCCATGTGGTGGAGGCTACCCATTGTGTGGAAGAAGCAGCAGCAGCAGCAGAGAGAAAGCAGTAGGGGACAAGGAACATTATTGACGAGAAAAAGGGGGAAGTTTTCAAAGAAACGTTTGAAAAAATGTTTGCTTGGTACGTTTACTTGATCGTTGTCATGAGGATCATTAAGCGCAGTGTGGAGTTGGTGGCCACAATGTCCAGTAGCTACGGTCTTCACCCAAGTAGAAAGTGCAGTGTGGAGTTGGTGGCCACGATGTCCAGTAGCTACAGTCTTCACCCAAGTAGAACGCTCAGTCGTTATCGCAGTACGTAGACTGAAAGTTGCCTTAAATACAGCTGTAATGATGACGGGCGTTGTATTCGGATGAAGACGGTATGGTCGAAGCTCCTCACTTTTTGACATTGAGAAAAAGGAGGGCGGGGAGGAGGGTCCTAGATTTGACATACGAAGTAGAAGGTGGTGCTCATCATGATGATGTATGATGATGGTGATGGGCCTGATGGCAGTGACGATGATGGAAGGACAGCGACATGGCCAACTTTCTTATGATAAATTTACACCGTGCAGTGTAGCGGTAGAGAAGAGGGGGATAGTCTCTCTCTATGATAGAATAGCCGAGGATACCAATAGGCCTAGCTCAGGTGGTATACCGATGAACTGTTGAAATACCGACCTGAGTTCAAATCCAGATGGATTAGTCTCTAGATGAGTGAAAATTCTTGAGTTACCCGGGGCTGGTCAGTTCCATGATGATATCTCAAGGCCGTCACCGTTAAAAAAAAGAAAAGGAAAGAATAGTCGAAGACACTTAAGACACCAGCACACCCGGAGAATTTGAATTAGCCTCTCCGAAAAGTTAGGGGATTTTGGGACCCGCCTGGGGGCAGGTAGATTTTTTTCTGTTCAGGGCTGGGCCTAGTGCCACCCCACGGCATGATGGGACAGTTCTTTTTTTTTCTTACTGGCCCTCCGGACACCCTGTCCCGAGCCTCCGAAATTTTTAGGAGAGGCTCGATCGGATTCTCCACCTGGTTGCGGCCATGTTATTTGAGATTTGATTAACTTAGATCGTGCTTGTCATTGTCATCCAAAAAAAAAAATCACCCAATTAGCTCTGGCGTTAATCTTTAGTTTGTTCAATTCCGCTGTTAAAAAAAATAATAATAATAATTTCTTACCACTATGCCATGCTATCATATGAGCAACGGCATTCGATATTTGTTGTGGGATGTGGGGCACAGATTAGATCTACCAAAAGTACACTCTTGCCGTTGCGGAACTAATATGTTCTTTCTTTTTGCAGCTCGTCTAGATGCATTGAATATCTTGAGATTCTCTTTGCAATTTGAATATCTTGAGAATCTCTGTGTCATAAATTTAATGATGATGAGGATGGGAATGTTTTATTTTTTGGTATTCCCTTCCCGCCCCCCCCCCTTTTTTTTTTCTCCTATGATTCTCCAGGGGTGTGGGAGACGGAAGGAGCAAAGGAGGGGGAGGACAAACAGAACAGAAAGCAAGCAAGGGAAGAGAAATCCTACCCCTACAAATGCCAATTTTGAATCGCAGACCCTTCTTTTTTAATTAAGAAACGTGTTACTCACATGCTTAACGTCCCCCCTAGTACTCCCTACCTAGTCACTGTTTATGAGTGTTTCGTGAACTCGGGGCTTCTGCCTACATGCAGGTTTTGCAGACGGGCGTAGCATACCCATTCCTACGTAGGGCTATATGGCGGCCTACGTAAGGTGGTACTGCTGCCTACGTACCGGGGCTACGGGCACATGCAAAAAACCTACGCCTACCTAAGTACACAGAATGCAACACTATTTGGTTATTGATTGATTGATTTATTGATTTATTGTCACTATTTGTTTATTTATTTATTTATTTATTTATGAAGGCAGGCTTGTTTTTCTCTTTCTGCTGCAGCTTCCTGGAATGAGAAGATGCAAGAAATCAAACTCAACGAATCTGTGGATGTGTGTGTTGCTGTGGCTACGGATAAGGTGAGAGTAGCATCCTCTGCTTCTTTGAAAAGTGCAAGGTCCTTGGCTGATCGGAAGCATCCTGCTTCTCTCAGATAACACCCACTCACTGGTGAAAGAATTTCAGTCAATTTGTTGTTTAGTATGTTTACTATTTTATTCGATGTTGTTTTTGGGTTTAATCAACTTTAATCAACTTTAATCAACTTCAATCATTTAATGATTATCAATCATAAGATTCATAATAATGATTTACTCATGCAAACTTGCACTATACTGAAACTAGTTTCTCACGTAACAATCCTTCCCTCACAATCCATCTCACCGTCCCTCTGTTTCTCATGTCCTCTGTGTCATTTGTTGCTTTGTCCTCCCTCCTCGTCGTTGGTCCCTTTTTCGTCCCCCCTATGACTCTCGGTGTGACCCAGCTCGCCAATAGGCCCAATACCAAGCGGCAGCTGCAAACCTGGTATGGTGTGTTCACGTGGTTCGGTTATTTTTGTTTGTAAAATGACCCATCATGTGTTAAATAACTGTGACAGTCTAGGTGAGGAGAATCTGCAGGTTAATCATGGCAGTGCATTTTGGGACTAGAACTGCCACGTCTCATCATGTGTTGTTCCTGCAGCAATTTAGGGGCCGGAACTGGGACATTTTGGGAACAGAAAAAGCAGATTGGACATTTTAGGACCTGAACTGGGACATTTTGGGAACAGAAAAAAGGCAACTACCACATTCTGGGACGGGGAAAGAAGTAACCGCTACTAACCGGAACATTTTGGGAACAGAAGATTTTGATCACAGAAAAAAGCAACTAGGACGTTTGGGGACCAAAACTGGGACATTTGGAGAGCCAAACTGGGACATTTTGGGACCGGAACTGGGACATTTTGGGACCGGAATTGGGGTATTTTGGGACCGGAACGCGGACATGATGCCTGGAATTGTCCCATCTTGTGTTTGTTGAATCCACAGCGTAAGCAATAAAGGGACGATACTTTTGGGTTTTTGGAACAATGGAAGATTGCACAGCTTTGGTTTTTTTTTGGTAGATAACACCTATAGTATAGATCTAGGGCCGTGTTTCGCTACTCAGCGGATCTGAAATCAGCTATCTTGCACTGGAACGTGGCATGAGGCATTTTCATTCACATCAGGCATTTGGAATAGTGGAACGAAGCCCATCGACTGTCTACCCCGGACTCAGCGGACCGTCACAGAGCCAGCTGGATGCAAATGATTTTTTCTACTTTCGCCTTTTTCGTGCAGATGAATTTGCAATCCTGCAGGGCTACCTTCTCCTCCTTGCTCACCGTCTTCCTCCTCCTCCTCCTCCTTTCCCCTACTAGCCTCCTTCCTCCCTGGGCATTTCCACCATGGTCAAGGTGGAGCCCAGGGGCCGCCGCCTTCCTCCTCTTCTCAGCTCTGCCGCAGCTGATCGGGCGCTCCAGCTGCGTACCTCCATGCTGCATACTTGCAAATGAGGCGGAGCTCCTCCGAAAGTGAGAGCACGCGGCGTTGAAGCAACCGCTCGAGGAGGCACACCTCCGAAAGTGGGAACACTAGGCCTCCCAGTTAGATATACCATCCAGGTGCGCCTCCTTGCGCGGTTGCTTCAACGTCGTGCGGTCTCCAAGTCTACCCGGTACATCCCACTTTCGGAGGAAAACATCATTGCAGCCTGATCTCAACTCCTGCAGGGTCTAGACTCAGGCTACTTGGACCGGTACCTTTTTCTCTTTTAGCCTAGCAGACTATAAATTCTACTTTGGCCTCCCAAGGTACAAACTTGCTGTCTTCTTCTGCCTACCTACCCACTCCTTGAGTGTTTTTTTTGGCCTTCACATTTTCTTTTCTTCGCCCCTAACCCGCTGTGCCCGCACAACAACACGGCGACAGGTACGTACCAGGCCTGTGGGCCTGGCCAGCATACAAGTAACCCCAGCGGGTCACACCATGCAATCATGCAGACAAGCATAACGCGTGGAAACTCGGCAATTGTGCTCACACAAAAACTTCAGAAATCTCAGCAGAGTGGGAATCTCAACAAGTCACTCGAACAAGCAGCAAAACCCAGAAAACAGCAGGTTTTGCAGTTTTTTTTTTCTGCGATACATCGATTTTGCAGGTCATTACACAGTCGTGCAACTAATTACATCGATGTTGGAGGTCATTAAACAACAAGAATCTAGGCTACCAGACTGGCCCGGGGTCACTTGCCCGGCCGGGCCAAGACAACAAAAAATTATAAAAATTATAAAAAATTTAAAAAATAATTTTCAATTTTATTTTTTACTTTAAATTTGGGGAAGAATTTCGATGTGACCCTGAGGCAAAAGTTGTTCAGCTTAACATTGTTTTTGAACTTTTTTTTTTTTTTTTTTTTTTAATGTATTTTTTTGGCTGGGACCTTCCTTGGTCCTTGCACGGGCTGGCCACATGGGAACCGGGCGGCCCGGCTGGTAGCCTAGACAAGAATAGAATTTAAATTTTAAATATTAGATGAGGACCGTATGATGTTGAGCGGGACGTGTTGGGCGTCGAGCCCTCTACGCCGTATATGTAATCAGTTGCGCATTCCAGTGTTAAACATCAACCGAACCCATAACTGAAGCCGAACTAATCACCCTAGACCTTAATTGAAGTCTAATAATCACCCCAAGCCCTCAATCCCAGTAAAACCACCGGAAAGAAGTTTCAGAAACATTAAACCCGCAGACTACCTCAACCAGGCCAACTTGAGGAATGAAAAGGCGACCTTCCGGAGTCTTCGGATGATGAACAGCGCCACCGGACCAAAATGGCTGGCGGCACCAGCGGAGGAAACAAAAATGAAAACACCTCCATGCCATCGATGGCGGTTCTTTTTGTTTTTTTTTGGGCGTGCAGCAGGAATCCACTTCGGGCAAAAGAGGCTGTGAGGTCTTACCTCTTTTTTTTTTTTTTTTTGGCGTGCACAGGGAATCCACCTAGGGTGGTTTAAAGTTTAAACCCTAGTTAACCCTGGAACCGAAACCCTGCGACACCCTTAACCCTGAGAGCCCCAGACCCTCGTGATCACCCTAAACCCTAAACCCTAAACCCTAAACTGAGCACCGTGAACACCAGACCCTTGTAATGGCCCTAGAGGGCCCAAACTCTAGACCCTAAACCCTAAATCCAGAACCTTAGTAATCGTATGCTACAAGACTGAAATTTAACTCAGCCTATATATAGGTTATTCATCAACATGTCTACAAAGTATAGAGTCTACAGACTCAAAAGAGTGAAAAAGTCGAGAGGTCCTAGATGTGACCCCGCCCCCGGGCGGGGTGGGCGGGGGGGGTGGCCTCGACTCTGAGAGCCCGAGATTTTTGTTATGGGCGTAGTAAATTGATGTAAACTTGTGTTCACTGTTCAGTATATTTTTGCACATTTATGAGACGGAAAACATCTCGCACAATGGATAAGCGTATGACCACCCAAAAAAAAAAGAGGAGGAGGTGCATCACCACAAAAGACACGTGACACTTAGACATGCACCTACATTGCGGCCCGGGGATTGAACCATGGCTCGTGATTGGGAGTTCTGGCGAGTTTCAAAAAAAAGAAAAAAAAAGAAACAGGAAATGGGCCTCGGTGCACTACTCGACATTCTACATGTATCTGGGCTGCCGTCTGTCCCAGACGCATTCGGACTGATCTATGAGTTTGAATGTATCGGGATCATTAATCGATCCAGGTGCATTTAGAATGTTGTCTAGTGGAGCGATGCCCAAAGTTTCCACTCCGGTTTGTTTAAACTCAGAAAGTTTTGAACAGTGCAAACTACCGAAGATTTGTTCATACCAAAAAAAAGTAAAAATTTAGTATTTACTATTTAGTATTTTTAACTATTTTTACTGTTTTACTAATTTAGTAATATTTACAAAAACCTTGTATTTTTGTTTGTTTTCGAAAAGGGTTTTTGAACTTTGAACTTAAAGTTTGAACTAAAGTTTGAACTTAAAGTTTGAACTTAAAGTTTGAACTTAAAGTTTGGACTTAAAGTTTGAAGTTACCCTCGATTGCTTAGTAAGAGAGTTGTGTTATCATTTGGCCACTACCTTCTTCACCCGAATACAAAGCATGGTCATTATAGCTGTATCTGGGCCGTCTTTCTTGCTGAATACAGAAATAATGAGCGTTCGTTGTAGCATGGTCATTATAGCTGCATCTGAGGCGTCTTTCTGGCTGAATACAGAAATAATGAGAGTATGTTGTATTCGGGTGAAGAAGGTAGGCAGGTGCAGCGGGTTGGCCGGGGGGGGGAGGGCTTGCTCGGGGGAGCTCGGAAGGGGAAATCAACGATTGACGAAACTGAGGGAAGGGGGGGGGGAGGGAAAGAAAAAAAGATGGTGGTTTTGTGTGGAGGTGGATGCAAATTCTGTCATAATTTTCAAAATTTTGAACCTTTTCTGTCTTTCTTGTTACGTTTTTACTTTTAAAAAATAATAATTTAGTAATAAAAATAGTAAAATAGTAATACTAAATAAAATTTGACAAAAAAAAATTATTTAAAATTAATGAAAGGTAATAAAAATTTATTAAGTTTTATCCTTTTTGTGCTGGCAGGGTTTGATCACTCCTATCATACGCGATGCGGATAAGAAATCTTTGTCGGCCATATCTGCGGAGGTGAAGGACCTAGCAGAGCGGGCACGTTTGGGAAAGCTCAAGCCTGCAGAGTTTCAGGGAGGCTCTTTTACGTGAGTCCCGTTTTGCCCATCTTGTCATCTGATATCAGCCCTTTTTTTTTCCTTTTTTTCTTTGGCTTAACCCACCACTACGTTTCACAGGCAAACGCGAAGTCCATCTAGTAGCCTACTTGTCAGAGTCTGACGCCTCGGGGCAGGCACGGCAGCCTTCTTTGAAAACAAAAAAACAGAGGAAAAAAAAAAAGGAAAAAGAGTTTGAAGTACCAGTAGACCACATATAGGCCCACGGGTGTCAGCATGAAACCTGCACCACTTCGGAGGCCACCGATTGTTTTTTTCAACGGCGGGCCTTGCCCGCCCGGCGCCTCCGAGTTTTGCTTGTGGCAACAAAAACGTTCTTCAAGGTTGGGGCCGTGTACTAGCGGTTTAAAAGACTAAAAAATTTCATTTCCAGCGACGTGGTGGAAGGCCCTCACGGATGTGAAAGTCACACCAGTGCTTTGAGGAATGTATCTGGCCACTATATGTGGAAGGGGATTGCTGTAGGCTTTTTTTTTTTTTTACTTTCTTTGCAAGTCGTGAGGCAGGGCGTTTTCCACGGGGGGATCCAACTGCCTCACTGCCTGGTACTCGCACTGGTACTAGAGTGTCCTGTATCGGACCGAAATCACAGCATAAGGGATGCTTTTTTTGAATTTTTTCGCATTTTTTCGCTATTTCTTTGTTGTTTGTTGTTGAGCGAACAGACGCCCTCACTGAGGGCGCAGTCTCACTGGCCCCTTGTTGAATGCATCTGATGGTTATCACGGCGTTAGGGAAGTTTTTTTTTTTTTTTGTTTCTTCTTTTTTTTTTTTTTTGCGTTTTTTCGTTCTTTCATGGATGCAACTGCCCAGGCTCGGCAAAACTCGGTGCGCACTGTGCAGTGAAATTCAGGATCGGCGAAAACAGGATCGGAGGAAGTGGTTGTTCAAACAATTATAAGGTCATCTCACCAAACTCGTCAGATGGAACGAATGAGACGAACCAGTCCACTAACTAAGTGCAGTCGTGCACCCACACGGATTTATTTTTATTTTTATTTTTTTTTAACTAGCCTATATTCTTCTCTCAATGTCCCTCCCACTACCTAGCTATTCACATATACTTAGCACATCTTAGCAACTTCCCTCTACTCTATGCGAGGAGTAGCACCCAAGCTCCTAACAGCTGGCGCGAGCTGGACACGGTTTTTTTTTTTTTTTTTTTTTTTTTTTTTTTTTTTNTTTTTTTTTTTTTTTTTTTTTTTTTTTTTTTTTTTCATGGACACGGATATTATAATCACAAGAGATACTGAAAAAAAAACAGCTATGTCTGAACCTGGTGAGTCTCCCCCTTGCTGAGTCAAATTGAACCCCCCAACTGTATCCAAGAAAAAGATATCCCCTGCGCACCCCTCGGCCGCCCCCCTGCCCCCCGCCCCTCCTCGGAAAACAAGAAGGAAAAAAGTAAAGACAATGCCAAGGTCCGAGGGTGCCGGAAATGTCTATGGCCGTAAGATACCTGATCCCTTGTGGCAGAACACAAAAGAAATGCACATGATGAGCACATTCTCTTGCGATCCACGAGACACATGCCTGGTGCTTTCCTTGCCTTAGACCACCATGACACCCGGGCCTGGCGGTCCTGCACTCTCTCTTTTTTGGCTGGTGCCGCCAGCCATTGAGGTCCAGTAGCCCTGAGCCTCTGCAATTTCAGCAACAGGTGATGAGGAAACCTTGCACGGCTGGGGCCGTGTACACGGGCGGGTCAGATGCAGTGTACATGGCCCATGCTCGCGATGGTTTAAGTGTTCAGGGTTGCACAGGTTTCCACACTCGCGAGCCGCCTCGGGCGGCCCCATGCTGCGTGGCTCGCAAGAGCACGCCGTAGCGTAAGCTGGAAGGAAAGTTTGAAGATGTATATTATACTAATATAGGGCCTCACTCGCTCCACTACTCTCCACATGCGCAAAAGACAAAAAGGGATGGCAATGTATCTTTCCATGTTCTAGCAGAAGAGAATTCAGTCTCATTTTGTACATTTGGAGAGTAGTGGAGCGCGGCCCATAGTCCTCTTATACCACCATACCATGGATGGAGAAAGGCATCACAGGCTCACTATAGGGCCTGGCTCCACTACTATTCACATGCACAAAAGACAAAAGATATGGCAATGTATCTTTCGGATTTCTTTGCATGTTCTAGCAGAAGATTCACTATCCTTTTGCACGTGTCTATAGAGTAGCATAGACCTATATTCTTTGGGGCTGGGGGGAGCCTTTTGTCGGCTCCGTCGGAGCTGGATGTCCGGGCCTGGTGAGGCCCTTTTGGCCATCCGTTCGAGCTCTGAAATCGACAGTCGGCTTTTCGCAAAGTTGCTGATTTTATACGTTTTCTCGGACCCTGGAGCAGCGACGGAAAAAAGTTTGCAGGGCTGACCGGTAGCAGCAGGAAGAAAAAAATATGAGAAGTTCTGCTGCCAGAATTTTTTCCGCCGTCCAATTTTGTTTACTTTAGGTTTTAAATATGAGAAGTTTTGCTGCCAGAGTTTTTTCCGCCATATATAGTTTTGTTAACTTTTGTAACTTTTGTTTACTTTTAGCCTATATATATTTTTTCGTGAAAAGATCAGTGCACTCAATCGATGCACTCGCCAAGGTCGACATTCGCAAAAGTTTCCATGCACTGCCGCTGACCCCCTCCCCCCCCGGCAGCTAGTAGGCTGACCTGTTTTGCAGCCAGTTCATGCACTGCCGCGACTTTCGGATGCGGCAGGGTTGGAAGCGCCATTAGGGAGGCCGTACGATTGACTCGTTCTCAACCTGCAGCCTCCCCCCCC